TGAGCTGCAGATCACAGTCAGCTAAAGTGGCCTGCAGTACTGCAGCATGGAAGAAACGCCGGCCTTCGTGTAGCAAGAAGCGAGGGGGGCCTTTCTCGTCTTCTCATAATGCCACAGGAGGAAGACCCTGGGATGGGAACCTGGGAGAAACAGAGGCCAGGAGCTCCAGGGCAGGACTGGTTTATGGCATGCTTGGCCCCCCAGGAGCAATGACGGGCATCGTTTGGCACCACCACCGTAATGAAACCAGGCCAGGTTAGGCAACCTGCTGCCCTCCAGGCCTCCCGGGGGGGGGCTCCATGAACCCAACTCCTTCACGGTTTCACGTCCCCTCGTCCTGCTTTAGGAAAGGGAGACAGGGACGCTCCAGGCTCAGAAGCCACTTCCGGGTCTCCTCTGAGCAGTGGAAGGAGAATGTTTGTCCGGGAGCAGATGGTTCCCCTTGCCTCCCGCCTGTGAAATCTTGGCAGAGTTTAGAAACGGACCTGCCAGATACCAAAGCAGTGAAGCATCCTCACCCAGATGTGAAAATGGCAGGTGTGCTCCTTCGTTTTTCAACAAGGATGGGCCAAAAGCAGTGCAGGCAGCGGAAAGCCAGCACCAACCAAGCTGACTTCCCCCAGCCTGCCTGCCGCCTCCTGGAGAGGAGGGCGAGGAAGGAGCCCTGGGCTGTCAGCCATTAATCTTCCAAGTGGAACATCTTTAGCTCCTGGCCATCTTTAGATGCTTGTAACGTAATCGCTTCCCCTGAGCTGGAGCCACAAAGGCAGGAGAGGCTGAAGGGAAACCGTTCCAGGCCTCACGCGGAGACCCACCAGCACCGTTTCCCCCCCCCCACCGGAAGCTTTCATGCTGCAGGTAAAGTTCTGGGCGGAAGATCTGAGGAGGAGCCCGCAGCTCCCCTTCCTGGCCAAGGAAAAGAGCCTCCATGAGATGGGCACCAGCCAAGCCCACCCGCTTCTCCTCCCTGCTGATTTCAGGGCCGGGCTTGGTGGCGTGCTGCTGTCCTGTCTTCGCCTTGGCATCTGAGCCACCCTCTTGGGTTACAGCCTTGGGCAGGTGCACCGAGCTGGGTTATAAATATCCCCAAGAAACCGACAGGCAAGAAGGAGGCGTCTTTTGGGAACTCGGCTGGCTGCAGGCGGCCAAACCTGCCAGTTTGCCCAGCACTTTGCCCAGCCTTAAGGCCAGAGCCTTGGCCATCTGCTTGGGGGCAGAGCAAGCAGCCCAGGTTTTTCACCCTCTCCCACGAGGCCAGGAAAAGGTGGATGGGATTCCATGGGATTACTCCTCCCACCTGCATTTATTGCTCCCGGTCACGGATCTCGTGGAAGCAGCCCACCATCAAAGGTTTTGGGTTATCAAAAGCAGTCACGGGCCGACACAAAAGGCTTAGTCAGTTGGAAGAACCTGGGCCCAGAACGGGTGGAACCTGCCCATCCCGGCAGCAGAAGGAGGATGTCTGCACTGCACCGCCAGGGAGGATACGGGGCAGGCGAGGGGCAGAGCCACCTGGGCCCAACTGGCTTCATGGTCTAGGCAGGTGTGTGGCTTTTCCCAAGTGAAGGGGGGTCAAAGGGCCCGATAACCGGACTTGGGAATTTCCCACGCCACAAAGAAATGAACTGTGGGTCCCATTCAGAAAGGGGGACCTGCCCAGCCAAGGGAGGGAGCAGGGGCCTGGGTCTCTGGGCAGAGCAGCCTTCGTCTCCTGGACCCTCGGCCGCAGTGGCCTCTCAGAGGGCTTGCAAAAACCCTAACCCAGGGGTCTCCAAACTTGGGAACGTTTAAGACTTATGGGCTTCAGGACCCAGGAGTTGAAGCCCATAAGTCTTAAAAGTTCCCATGTTTGGAGAGCCCTGCCGTAACCCTAACCCTAACCCTAACCTTTCTGCAAGCCCTTGTTTTAACTTCCATGGACCAACAGCCACAAGCCTGAGATGCAGAAGAGGCTCCTCTGGAGGGCTGGAGCTGGTGGCCTTCGGAGCAGCCTCCCCCAGGCCCCGTCAAGTCCCAGTTTGTCCCCAGCTGCAGGATGGAAAGATGGAAGGGAGGCCAAACAGGATGCAGCTTCTGCAGGCTGCCAAAAGTGCCTTTTCGCCCAGAAGCGTTGAAGGGAGGTGGGGGGGCTGCTCCCTGGCCTGGCTGGCTGCAGCAATTGTTAGCTTTGGAGGAGCGGAGCTCTGAAGCCTCCCCTCCCCCCCCAGCACTGGCGTTTGGAAGGGGCTGCTGAGCATCGGGTGGTGGAAGGAAGGCCCCCGGGGGGGGGGGTAGGGGGGGCAGAGGCTCCCTGTGCTGCTCTTGGGAGGCGCTGTGCACGTCTCCCGCTGAAGGACTTTTCCATGGAAGGTTTTCAAAAGAGCACGGAGGTTCCAGGGTTGGCCCGGCCACAGGAAGGGCTTCCTCCAGAGAAGCCATGGATTGTGGCCATGCGAAGACGGGGTAGGGGGTGGCCGCCCTGTGTAGGCATCTGTTTCTTTTGGGAGGACGGATCCTGCCCTGTTGCTGCACTGCTTTGGCGAATGTTTTGGCAGAATTAGCCCTTGTGGACTGAATCACCCCTGGGATCAGCTTCTGTTTCCCCATCTTGAGTGACACACCCGTGGCTGCCTCTGGCACAGCTGGAATTGCGGGGGGGGGCAGCAAAGGAAAACCCAACAAAGCTTGTTTTCTTCTGCCCCCTGGACCTCCCCCCCCCCGCCTTCCCAGCTGCTTTGTGTCACCATCACTTCCCTCTCCCACCCCCCCAAGGAGGACCCTCCGTTCCTCCATGGCAGACTGAGGCATGCTTGATTGTGCTGCCCGCCTTGCCAGTTGTACGTTGCATCACAACATACGATTTTGTAACCTCTAACAAACACGAATTGCCCAGGATCCTTATGCAGATCCAGCCAATTGTTCTCGGAGGAGGCTTCCTGTTGCAACCAAAAGATGAGTAAATGTTTTGGCCTTTTGGCCTTCCGGGCAAAATCATTAGACGGAAAGATAATTAACTCCGCCGAGGGTGAATCTTAAACTTACAACAAACATTTTTCCGGGTTGAGAGCCGTTGGTGAAAGCTCCTCCTGAGTCTGCTGAGGAAAACATCTGGGCGCTGGGCAGAGGCTGCTGCGGCTCACAGAGCAGGTAGCCAGAAGGGCACCACTGCCAGGCAGGGGGAGCAGCAGGGAGAGAGGGGAGGGGTCCTGCAGCTGCTGCTTCCCTGGAGTTCAGCCATGCTTCCCGGTGCCCAGGATCCGCACTCGCCCACCTCGCCCTGTGGCTGGCATAGAGCCTGGCTGGCTCCCTTAGCCAAGAGTCTGCGTTGGCCGAGAGGGGCTGGGCTCCTTCTGGCCGGGGCGTCCCGGGAACCTGCCGTTGGGAGGGTGAGTGAGCAGCTGGCTCAGGGGGCATGGGGTCAGTTTCTCCAAGTGGGCTGCTTTAAGGCCTGTGAATTCCCAGAATTCCCAGCCAGCATGCTGGGAGTTGAAGTCCACTCTCTTAAAGTTGCCACGTCCCAAAAGTCCTGGTTTAGAAAGACTCAATAGTGACAGGCGGCAACTGCAGCCGAAGTTTAACCTGTGGTGTGACACACACACACACACACCATGGCTGGCCGATCCAGAGATCTTGACAGACTAGCTCCCCTCTCTGACTCTGGCACAGCAGGTTGTGCCAATGCAGCCAAGGCTGGTTTACTCAGAAACCCCTGGGGTTGCTGGGGAAAGGCAGCTGGGTAACCAGGGCCTCCCTTTCCCCTTTGGGGTACAGCGAAGGGAGCATCCCAGCACCCCAAACCCCTTGTGGGGGGAACTGGGAAGCTTTGCCTCCTTGTTGTGGTTTCCTGCCTGGCATCCGGAGTGCCCAGAAGGCCTGCAGAGCTGGCACTGCCCCTCCTGCCTTGCCACTTTCTCCCGAGTAGAGCTGATCGGGCGGGGGGGGGGGCTTCTTCAGACTTCAGCCTCTCCCGGAGAGGCAGTGCCCCCCCCCCGCCTACCTCCAGGACCCCCGTTGCAACGTCGGCGCGCCTCCCCCTCCTGCCCTCCCCCAAGCGAAGCTGCGGCCCCCGGGTGGTCGCCGGAGGAGGAAGCGGCTGGCGACGGGGATGCGGCCCCCGCCTTTGCCCCTCTCGTCGGGGTAGACTGCCTCTGGCCAAGGCGGCGCTCGCTCCCCGCTTCGGCCATCGGGAGCGCCAGCCCTGCGAGGGAGGCCGCCGCCGCCGCCCTGCCCTTCTTTAGGCATCGGCCGGGGCAGGCGGGGCGGGCGCGGGGCGGGCGCGGGCGGAGGGGGCGGCGCGCGCGGGGCCCGTTCCCAAAAAAGCATTGGCTGCCCGGCGGAATGCGGCGCCCCCCCCCGCCCCCCGCCCCGCCAGGGTACTTAGCCGCCCGCGGCCGCCGCGGAGCCGCTTGCACTCCGACCAGCTCCACCGTCCCAGCGCAGCCTCTTCGCCGCCTCCTCCTCCTCGACGGACTTTCGCCAACTGCCCCGCAGCCTCCGCCGCCGCCGCCATGGACGCCATCAAGAAGAAGATGCAGATGCTGAAGCTGGACAAGGAGAACGCGCTGGACCGCGCCGAGCAAGCCGAGGCGGACAAGAAGGCCGCCGAGGAGCGCAGCAAGCAGGTGGGCCGCCCGCCCCCGCCCCCCGGGAAGGAGCCGCCGGGGGCGCGCCAGGGACCCCCCGCTCGCTACGGACGCCCCGAAAGAGAAGCCGGTGGCCGGGACGGGATGCCCGCTGCGCTTCCCCCACCGCCCGCCTCGGGAATTGGGGGGAGGGGGGACTCGGCATCTCCCTCGACGGGGATTTGGAAGAGCGCGCGGGGGGGGGGCTGCCCTCCCTGGGCTGGGTCCTCCCTGTTGAGCCTCCCCCCCCGCTTTGAATTGGGGATGCTGGATCCCCGGTAGTTGGTTGAATAGACGTGGGTGAGTCGTTTCCGATAAAAAGCAGCCAAGTGGGTAAGAGCCCCGTTGGTGGGAAAGAGCCCCCCTCTCCGTCACAGGAGGAGTTGGAGCCCCGCTCCACGGTTGGCTCCTGGAAGGTCAGATATGGAGCCCCGACTGGGGCTAATGCAAGCCTCCTCCACTTGATGCCTTGCAGATGTGTTGGGACTACACCTCCAGTCATTCCCAGCTCAAACAGCTGGGATTTGAAGCCGTAGCTGGATGATGGAAGGTTGGGGAGGGGGGGAGGAACCTGGCCTGGCTCAGGGGCTTCACCCAAAGTCCACGAAGGCAACTGACTCAACTGGGCATGGAAGCCAGAGGCCTTAAGGCAGCCCAGCCCTCCTTTCCCAGCTGGCCTGCTCCCCCACAGGCTGGGGACCTTCCACCTGGCCCTCAACCCCAGTGAACTTGCTTTCCCCTCCTCTGGGGTCGCAGTTCCCCTAGTCGTGAGCTAAGCACGCGGGTAGCTTCATTCAGACAACACTCTGGGTCCCAAACGCAGCCCCAGCATCCGCATTAGGCAGGCAGTGGTTGGGAAGGCAGCCCTGGGGAGGGGCAGGTGGCAGGGGAGGCCGGACCGGGGGAGATTAAAAGGGCTTCCTCCTCTTTTTGCCTCTGGCCTGCGGGGGGGCTAGATGGAGGAGGACATTGTGCAGTTGGAAAAGCAACTGCGGGTCTCGGAGGACGAGAGGGACCGCGTCCTGGAGGAGCTGCATAGCGCCGAGGACAGCCTCCTCACCGCGGATGAGAATGCCACCAAGGTAGCCTCTCCGGATGCTCTAACCGCCTCTCTCTCTCTCTTTCTCTCCTGTTTTCCTCCCTCTGTCCTTCTGCACCTCTTCTCCTTCACGCCATCGCGTTGCCTGCCGCACCCCCTTCCCCTCACTGCCCCTCATCACCCCCCTCCCCCGGTCCCCAACCTTCGGGCAGTTGGAAGATGATCTGGTGTCCCTGCAAAAGAAGCTGAAGACCACTGAAGATGAGCTGGACAAATATTCGGAGTCCCTGAAAGATGCCCAGGAGAAGCTGGAAGTGGCAGAGAAGAAGGCTGCAGATGTGAGTACTTCTCTAACCCCCCCTCCCCTCCCCCAAGGAGCATGCGCCCCCACCTTCCTGCCTCTGGGTCACTCAACCTCTCTGTGTGCTGGACTCGCCACCAGCTGTGGGGATCAGCCCACCTGCCACCACCCAAGAGGGCACGAGATGTGCCATCCATCAGCCAAGAATCCTGGACACCTGGGTAGCGGGTCCAGATGCCCAGCCGGCATTGTTGCCAAGGAAGCAGTGGAGACCTCTCCTGCTGTGGTCCTAGGAGCCACACCTGAAGCTCTTTTGGGGAAGGTTGCTTGGACATCAGGCCGGAGCCCCGGGGGGTTCAAAACAAACAGCGCCTTCCTCCCAGAACCAAAGCCTTGGAAACGGACAGGGGTTCTGATGCGTGTAAGAGACCCTGCAGCACCCACAGGGGTGAGAGGGCTTGTCTGGGCTAGTGAGTCCTTGAGCCGAGATGCCCATGTGGGAAAAGGTACGCAGAGGACAAATGCAAATGGCTCCGAGGTGCAAAGATAGGTCGCTGAGGCTCGATGCCCAAGGCGTGCCAAGAGGTTTCTTGACGTGCCAAGGAGAGGATACTTGCTGGGTCGGCAATCACTCAAGGCTGGGGAGAGACCCGGTGGGTGGGGGTTATATATAGCTCAGCACTTTATATGGAAGAGGGAGCTCTCTCTCCCCCACCCACCTGTCTAAGTATTAAATCGTCCTATGGCTGCAGCCCTCAAGCATTCCCGGCCCCACAGCCTTCCCCGCAGTTCATTCCAAATCTGGGCTGTCGGCCCCTTAAGGTTGGGGGCGGGGGGGAGTCAGACATCCCAAGCAGATGATGTCATACGGAGGACTACCACCACTCTCTTTAAGGGAAGGAAAGCAGCTCTCCCAGGCCTGGGAGAAAGTGCCATGGGGGGGTGGGGGGCTCACGTGGGGGTTTAAGGCCCATCAAGAGCAGCCAGGCCAGAGTGGAGGAAAGATAAATGGGGCAGAGCCGATCGGCGCTGCCTGGGAGCCTTTCGGGAGCTTGAATTTTTCTCCAACTCCTTGTGGTTCTGCCTGGCCCAACAGAAATCTGACTTCATTGCAACTTTGGGACCGCAGAAAGTCGCTCCTCCGTGAGAAGCTGCTGTGCCTAATCTGGCTCAGATGGGCCTGCCTTCCTCGCTGTGGCTTTTCCGATAGATGGGAGTCAGCATTCCAGCCAGGCGTTTATTTAACTTGTTCAAAGGAACCGCAAATAGATCCCAGGGAAGATATTCCTTATAAGGAAGAGAATGCAGACTATTTTGAAATAGCTTGTCTCAGTTAAAGGCAGGAGAGAGGAGGAGGAGGAGGAGGAGGAGGA